GATGGATTCACGACACACTGAAATTTATTTATTTTTCACCATAACAGATAGTCGTCTACTAATACGATCTGACAGGTATATGATCTGAAAGGTTTTTTTTCCAAAAAAGATGGTACAGGTTATCAGTAATTTTAACTTTCTCCATCAGATGACAGACCCATTTTTATATCCTCTCATTCTCTTTTTTTGGTGAAAGAGGCTTTAACATACAACTCATGAACAAGAAAAAGACAGAAGATTCCACAACACCTTTCGGGTCACCTGTTGCCAATTAAACTAACAATCATAATAAATATCATATTAGACTAATTCATCAACCACATTTTTTAAGGTGATTCTGATCTAAGGCGTAAGTGGTGATCATCTTCATCATATTTACCCTCTCTTTTAGCGAATCTCCCTATAGGGAAGTAGCTCTATTACCGTAGGTGGCACAGTAAGACCTAGGCTCGGGACCAATTTAATTTTTCATTTTGATGTCCCAGAGGCTAAAAACACCATTCGTTCAAATTTGTATATTGTATATATATATACGTTCGTGAACGCAATAACTTGAGTAATTTTTGTCCGATTTTGATGAAATTTGGTTTAAAGGTGTAAGGCAGGATAAACTTGAAGAGTTCGCGAATCAGCATGATCGGACCATGAAAACGGGGTTTTACGGGGGGTTATATGGGGTAAAAAATGGTTTTTCTCATTTTTAACCCTCAAAACACAAAATTTCCCAATTTCTCTCTAGACCTTTTTAAAGAGCTTAAAAAAACAAATAATTTAGTATATCAAAGTGTTTTAGCGAATTTCCCTTGTAGGGAATAAGCTATTAGGCCTACTGTAGTACAGTACTCATGGTAAGACCTGGACGTGGGACAGATTTTTTTTTGTTTTGAGGTCCCTAGAGGCCAAAAACACCATCCATTCAAATTCATATATATATGTGTCCGTTAGCACGATAACTCGAGGAAAAATTATCTGATTTTGATGAAATTTGGTATAAACGTGCAAACCTACATTTATTCGAACGAGTTCGCGAATCAGCATGAACGGACTATGGGAACAGGGGTTTTATGGGGGTAAAAATAGGTTTTTCCAATTTTTGACCCAAAAAACATAAAATTTAGCAATTTCTTTCCAAACCATTTTGCAGAGCTTAAAAAACAAATAATTTAGTATATTGAAGTGCTATTATGCGCCTAATGGGGAGCGAGCTGGCGTAGTAGTTCAGTCCCTGAGGTCCCGGGTCCGATCCCCGCCAAGTCACCAATGGATTTTATCTAAGTGATAATGCCGCAACCCCTAGGTCTAGCCTGAAGTAATGTGAAAAACAATCCCAGGCTTGTGCCTTGCGTCCTAGGACAAAAAAAATAAATGTATGCGCCTAATGGTTACGGTGAAAATTCCAAAAAAATTTAAATACCCATGTTAATCTTATGGAGAATAAGTAAACTGTTGTAGTGTGCTTGTTTATGAACATATTTTGATCAAATTTAGAAAATGTTTTTATTTCTTACTAACTATTAACATAAAAAGAAAAAAAAACAGGTCCTGATGCAGCAAACCTAAGTACTTGTTAAACTAATTCTATTTAAATAGGGAATAAATGTTATATTTTTAAGTAGACATTTTAGTGTAAATCCAATCAGGCAAATGGAAATTCGCTTAGTCTGCAGGTTTGCTGCGGCGGGGGTATTTTTAAGGTTATTGGTAATGGAGAAAATTCAAAAAAACTTTAATTTAAAACTCCCATGTTATTTTTATGGAGAATATTGTAAAATGTTGAAGTTAACTTGTTTATGGACATATTTTGATCTAACTTATATTTTAGTAATTATTAGTTTCCTTGTGGCAGCAAACCTAGGTACTCGTTAAACCTAATATTATTTAAATACATTGAAAAACATTTCAGACAGATGGAAATTCGCTTAGTCGGCAGGTTTGCTGCGGCGGGGGTATTTACTGATTAAATTACACTAAGTTAAATATTCAAGATCTTAATAACTTCACTTTATCTTCTGTATTAGCTAAATTTGCGTGAAACCTTAACCCTTCCTGGACGGGCGAAATCGTGACATAGGAGGAGAATATATTAGAGGAAAAAATAAAAATTAATTTTTCTTATTTTTATACAAGTATACATAAAATAAACACAGTGGAACACTTCATTCTGTGAAAGTAATTTTTTACTCGTTTTTAACTATGCAGATATATCCGCTACCCGTCCGCGGATGAGTAGAAATCTGCCACCCGTCTTTAAAGATATGAACACGACAACGTTAGGCAATAAATAAAGAACAATATATAAACAATAAATAAAGACAACGTAATGTTGAGCGCAAAACGTTGAGGGGACTCAACACCCGGCAGGTAGGAGTGGTGGTAGGTGCGCGGGAGCGGGGGAGGCGCTGGAGAGGGGTTGGCGCGGGAGAGAGGGGGGAGTGCGGGGGAGAGCGCAGTCATGGAAAGAGCAGGAAAGTGGTGCCTTGTTACCGCATAACATCAGGTTACTGCTCAAGCACCTGACAGTCTGTCTGAAGAGAAGGCGGATATAACCGCTTCCCGTCCGGGACATCAAAAACCATAAGCGGATATATCCGTCACCCGTCCTTTATTGCCAAAGGCATAGGCGTATGTATCCGTCACTCGTCCGCGAAGGGTTAAGAGTAACCGTAGTTGTTATTATTCTAGGACATCCAATACATTTCACTCTTAAATTAGCAACAGATCAGCAGTTAGATTACAGTGCCACTTACCTGTAACCTCTTCTCTTATCATGCAATTTTTTCATTATTGTCTGACAAAAACTGACATTATCATGTAATCATCAATGTGAATTCTCCAAGTTTTATTCCGATTGTGGGAGAATAGTTTGTCTTGTTTCAAACTTATTTAAATTTCCCATTTTAAAACGTTTTTATTAGCTCGCTTTCTTGTCCGGTACAAACTTTGAAATCAATTTTATATTAACTTCCCGACGAGCTAGAGACTTGAAACTTGAAACATAGCTCACAAATGGAAGACAATGCAATATTATATCATTTAATTTTCATATTTCCTTTGAGCTACGCCCCATGGGCTTGTTTTTATTAAATCGCTTTCTTGCAAATTTTGATACTTCCCGATGAGCTAGAGACTTGAAATTTGAAACATTGCTCATAAATGGATGACAATGCAATATTATATCATTTAATTTTTATATTTCCCTTGGACTACGCCCCAAGGGCTTGTTTTTATTAGCTCGCTTTCCTACAAATTTTTATATCAATTTTAAACAAAGTTTCCGATGAGCTAGAGACTTGAAACTTGAAACATAGCTCACAAATGGATGACAATGCAATATTATATAATTTAATTTTCATATTTCCCTTGGACTACGCCCCTTTGGCTTCCAAATTTTCCATGTTTACATTTTAAAAGAATGTAAACATATAAATTAATTTAAGTCAGCTGTAAATACCCTAATTTGACAGTTAGAAGAGCAGAGGTTAAGAGGTACAGGTTCTGCTTCCGATATATTCTAAAAATATAAAACAATCATTTCAAAGTAAAGATAAAACATCTGATTACAGATAATAAGGTTTTGGGTTTTGGTTATGCATTAAGAGGCTATATAAAATAGATTTAACATATTTACACATTAAAGACTAAAAACTAGATAATAATTTATAAATAAAAATACTTTTTAAAAATAACACGTTTTTAAACGCACTAAAAAGTATAAAATAATTTATAAAATGTTGAGAGAATAAATACTTGTAAGATTTAAAATGAAAAACGTGGGGCGCATGCTGATTTACAATTAACTTCACCTATTGAACTATTATGATCTATTGCATGCGCCCCACGTTTTTCGTTTTAAATACAAGTATTTATTCTCTCAACATTTCATAAATTATTTTATACTTTTTAGTGCGTTTAAAAAGGCAGGGATTGTGTCAATTTGAGTCTTTTCACGGGATTATGTTCATCATCAAACTTGACATGTAATTCACACTATTCCGATAAACCTTGAAAACAAATTTGAATAGTTGTCAAGCTACAACCTACCAAAGGTAAACAGCTTATACATTTAATAGAAGTATTCCCTGGAATTGAGGTATTTATTCCTGTCACTGTCGTATAGAATAAGATTGAGAAGTAGTCCCAGTTCCTCACATTTTCAACAATTGCTTCGTACACAGTTATTAGTGTGTGTATATGTGTAAGGTGATGATAAATGAGAGTGAAGTAAATAAACACGCTTCATCTCCTCTGATCACTAAAAGTATTAAGTTAAAATATTAACTTTCTACTTTCGTTTTCCAGATATTATTTTTTGGCAAATAAACCATACAAATACAATAGGTTTTTATAAACATTTTAGAAAAAAGAAAGTCAATAAGTTACTGCATTACGCACTTAAAAATTAAAACTCTTTATTCACACACTATCAAAAATTATTTATTAAACAAACTGCCTCTTTTATAAATATAAATATAGGTAATGATGCTAAAAATTTAGACAATCAATAGTGCTGCACCCTGTTGGTACATTTTGTAACCTTTTAATGCTATTGATAATCACAGAAGCAAATTGTTTAGTTGAAACAGCTGTTAAGATTCTTTAATTCCATTTAAATATGAGTACTCATAAGGTTAACATGGGAAACTCCAGAGCCACTGGGGCGGAGCCCTTTTGACGGATCTGCACCAAACTTCACACAAACCATCCTTGAATAATGCTTAATAATGCCTGAAAGTTTGATTAAAATCTGTCGAGCGGTTTCGGAGTCCATATATATATATTTATAGTATATATATTTACAAACTTCCTCTTTTATTTATTCTCTCAACATTTTATAAATTATTTTATACTTTTTAGTGCGTTTAAAAACGTGTTATTTTTAAAAAGTATTTTTATTTATAAATTATTAAATGTGTACATTGAATCATATTCAATACACAACTTAGTCAATATCTGATGTCTATACTCCTTCATATTTCAAGGTTTACAAAAAACACGTAAGATAAGATAAATAATTTATATACTGTATGTTAATTTACAAATCAAGACACTGGTACAAAACATTAGTTTCACTCATAATGAAAACCACACACATACATATCACACCCTGTGAGTTGCAAGGACATCTTCAGACGCTAGGTCTAGGGCAGCACTTTCTCCAACACCTTCAACATAAGGTAACACGTTATAATTTATGAACATATAGGAAAACCTGGAAAACACAATGATCAAATGTTTATTCCTCTTTGGGTTTTCATTTATTATTTAAACTGGGGAGTAGCTGATTAAAACTTTTGGGATTTGAAAATATTTCTTTCGGTCCTTAAAACTACCCTATTTGATCAGTGATAAAATAATGTGATTATTCAATCCTTATTTTTGGTGGTAACATTCCAGAATAGTAATGTTTGATATCAAAGCACTATTGTAATACTATAGTACCGTAGCCTAGGCAAAGACCTCTTGCTCTACTCACAGCAACGTAGAGCTGGCCGTGTCCAATCACAGGTTCCGGAAGATACACTCCAACTTTGTAATGCTACTCCCATAGCAATAATAATATTTTACTGTCGCAAAACAAATAGCACTGACAAAGTCATACAGTACAGTCAGAGACAGACAAAGTCAACATGTATTAGCAATAAATTGTTAAAATGTGGCAGAAGTATTTTCAGAATATTTTGGAATTACATGTATTAGCTTGTTGTGTATTTTTAATGAAACTAGGACGTCCCAGGGTTGCACAATTGTGCCAGTTTATTAACTATGAAGAACACTTTCCAAATGTAGCTGTTTCAACATACTGAAGGTTGGTATTGCCTAAAGACCGATATGCCTAAGCACGTTATTAATATTAGGATCCATTTCCTCAAATTCACAGTGAACGTCAAAACTTTTTAATTTACAACAGATGTGGATGGAACTCATGCTGTAATAAATACACATTTTATATTCTTGCTTGAACGGTAATTTTTTTATTTAAAATTTGTTCACGACAAACGTTTTTAGTGTAAACACAATGATTGTTTCTTAAGTGACCCTGCTCGGAAGTGTCCTCTACGAAGAACCGTAGCCCAGGCAAAGACCTCTTGCTCTACTCGCAGCAACGTAGAGCTGGCCGTGTCCAATCACAGGTTTCGGAAGATTCTGCCAACTTTGCCAATTGACTGTCCTTGCACCTTGTTGATGGTCATTGATGACAGGATAACAGGGAACTACGTCCGTTCCAACGCAAAAGGGGCAAGTTAATTCTTAGAATCAGTACACGGGGTCCAGATGAAACTCCAGCTAAATACTGCTACAACTACCAGTAGTAAACGTCCGGCAACGCTGTGGCATGTCTTTAAAAAAGCAGAGAAGAGTACTGAAGAAGTGCGGATTCAAAAATTAGGCAATAGTGAAATAAAATAAATAAACGGTATCAGCATCCTGACACGTACTTTCTCCCATAAGTTTGTCAACAACCTTTATCATGTGTAAGCGGTAAGAGTAAATATACGGAAATGGGATTTGTACAATTTTGTTCAGAGTTTAAAGGACTACATACTAAATTTTTATAAAAATCGTTCGGGCCATTTTAGTGAAAATCGGATTTTTCCGTTATTTTATGGGGTTTTATGGGAAAATAACATAATTTACAATAACTTTTGAACCATAATTTTTACAGGAATGGGATTTGTACCATTTTGTTCAGAATATAAAGGACTATGACATACAAAATTTTTACCAAAATCGTCCGGGCCGTTTTTGGGAAAATCCTATTTTTCCGTTATTTTATGGGGAAATCCCCATTAAAAATATTTTTTTTTTAATATGAAAAAACTATCAAAACTTTAAGGACCATAACATACTATGTTAAAATAAAACCGGATTTTTTTCTAAAATCCGATTTTTGTTATTTTATGGGGCTTTTATGAGAAAATAACATAATTTACCATAACTTTTGAACCGTAATTTTTACAGAAATGGGATTTGTACCATTTTGTTAAGAATTTAAAGGGCTACAACATACTGGTAAATCTTTATCAAAATCGTTCGGGCCATTTTCGAGAAAATCCGATTTTTCCGGTTTTTTATGGGTTTTTATGGGAAAACCCCCATTAAAAATCAAAATTTCAAAAAAATGAAAAAAACGCCTGGAGATACCATGGATTAGAACCTACATACCAAATTTCATCGAAATCGGACCACAGGTGTAGTCCCTAGCTCTGTACACATCCAGACACACAGACACACACACAGACACACACACACATACGGGGTTTTACCGAATACTCGCAAACACCTAATTGTGGCATCTTTCAACCTGCGGCCACCAGTGGATGAAGGAAGGTGGTAGAAACATGTCTGCATCGATATTTTTAATGAACACTCCATTTTAACATCTAACATTCCAGTTTTTAAATTGTGGCACCATGCCACAAATCGGTATATATCAACAGTGTGTGGACAGGATGCCACTAATGCGTCGTAGTGCTTGAGCGGTGTGTGCGCCCCCCCTACTTCTCGCGTGCGCTGTTGCCAGTTCTCCGTTCTAGTTCCTTCATTCCGTTCTGTATTCATGTGGCTATGCCCTAGCCGCTGTAGCTCATTTCCCGCAATCATGACGTCGTCTTTTATTAGTGTAAGGATTTTATATGAAGTTTTTTTCAAAGCTCCAATAATTTTTACAATTATTGGATTTAAAGTCAATGGACCAAATGAAATGTCGTGAGGATTACATAAAACTACATGCTATTTTGTTGATATTTTATCGTCACATTGTATGTATGGTTTACGAACTGAGATACTTGGAATAAAGGCCTTAATGTGCTGGGTAAATTATCAGTTTCATGGGAATATACAAGAAATCTATTCTATCTTCTTCTATATATTAATTACGTAAGCCGATTCTTTGCGTCAAAATTGTGGGCGACTGGGAAGTCGTAGAACGACGTGAGAGGGCTCAAATTAAAGGTCTTTATCCCGTGACGGCGGGAAAAATAGTGAAATTCCCAAAATCTTAACACAAAATTAGATATAACGTACAATGTTCTCCATAATAATAGCATTAGAAGGCATTTACTGCTGATTTTTGTTTACTTCAATCCAGCTGATCGTGATTTTATCATTAGCAAGTAAGCTTACATTTGGATTACTCATTTGCCAGTCAATTCTGCAATGTAATGTATACAATATAAAACCAACTATATAAAGGGATAACGTTACCTTTAATAATCAAGACTTTTTAGTTATGTCAAAGTTGAAATAAATTGTTTTCAAGATTTAAGAAACGATTCAAGATTAAAAGAAGATCTTCTTTGTTTTTATTTCAAAACATATGTGAAAGATTTATTCCAATTTTTTTTTTTAATTTACTAACATTTATATTTGAGATTTATTGTAGTGTTTAATCAATATTTTGTATGAAGTGGAATAACCTCAACGGTTACTCTTAGAAAACAATTTGGGAATAGAGATGAAGTAGGTTCGTACAGGTATTTAAACGAACCAAAAATATTTATGTCGTGATTAGTTTCGATAACTGGGTAATGGTACCCTAACTAGCCGCAAAATAGTTAGTAATTAGACGTTGACTAGGCCCTTTTTTGGTAGAATATGTAAATCAATCGCACCTTTAGGAGGATTAACACCACATACTTACACTAGGCTAATAGTGGTTTTTTAATGTTGATCACAAACAAATTTAGGTCCAAGTTCTGTCAATGGGATGCCTTTACTTAAGAATAATTTTGTTAAACCTTTACAAAATGAGCATAGACTTAGAAATAATAACTGGGTAGGGTATCTCAACACACCATTTTTTGCCTTTTCTTATTTGACGAAGACAATTTCCAATACTGTATTTCAATCGGGGAAGCCTTGTTATCAGCATTAACCAAAAAACCAAAGCTACCTTAATAAACCAATATTTATTCATAAACATGTTTGCTGCCTTTAGCAGTTAAACCTCTGGAATCATTCAAATTCTTTATTGAACAAACGTTATCAACAAAAGCAAACAAAGACAAACAACAAACTGTTTTGTTTTTTTTTGCACAAAAGGTATGTTGTAGTGGGATATCTAGGCCCATCCTGACATATAGATAATTTGATTCTGATTTTGTTTAAATATTCCAACAATAATTCCTTTTCCGTAGCTTTTTAGGGACTATGTCCCTACAAGCCACTAGTTTACGTTAAAATACGCAAAGAGTATGATTCCGTTTTTTATGTATGCATATAATTAATTCGTGGTAATGTAAAAGTATGCGTAACGAATTTTTCACCTCACTATGATGTTTTTAGCTGTTTTACATACATTTAGCTGGTTTATATTGGTGGCTGAAAGTTACGTTTTGCTGGCCATGCCAGCTGTCATCGTCATATGGGGACCGAGCAGGGGTTTACATCCCTAGGGCCGCAAAATCACTTGTTCGCCTATTTACTTAAAACATTAATGTATATTAAATGCACAAGCTGTAACCATGGCATTGCAATAGACTTGTTTTTTGTCACAGCTGCCTAGACAACTATTTATTGTTATTTTTGATTTTGCTGATTCCTCAAAATATTTCACATAAATAAGAGGGACGTTACATTGCAAAACATACTTGGGTTAAAAATAGCGCTCGTACCACGAGCCAAAATGGGTTTGCAGCTCTCGATCGTTTCACGTTCTCGACTTCGTCTCGAACTTAAAACCCGATATCGAGTCGGCAAAACCTCACTGTAGGCCCTAGGTACGAAATATACAATTTTTTTACGGTGGATTTAGAGACCCAAAGATTCTCACCCCGTTGCGAAGCATGGGCAGATAGTTAGTTATAAGATTATAAAGTCTTTACTGTTTTGTCTGAACATTGCGTAGACTCATGAAGTGTTTGGTTATTTCTACGTTGTATATAATAAGATAGCCGAAACGAGTCTTGTATATATATCTGTACGTTTGTTTGATTCTTACTGTCATTGTGCCTGTAACGCAAAAATTCCAATTCACGTGTCCTACCTTGGGAAAACTAGAGTACCGTTCATGATCCAAATAGTTTTGTAATTGTTTGAATAAATTTACTAAGTTTGATCAAAATATATCCATAAACAAGCAAACTACAACATTTTACAATATTCTTTATATGAATAACAAGGGAATTTTAAATTTACAATTTTTGAATTTGTCCTGTTACCA